CACACACACTCTGCTCCTCCCTGAGACCATGGAAGATGACGTGGACTCCCCCAGAGCACCAGGGTGAGCCCTCAGCCCTTCCCGAAGCCAGAGGGATCCCCGCATCCCCATTCCCATGGGAGCGCGGTCCCATCCGGCCCCGCAGACGTGCACTTACAGAGATTCAAGGGTGACATCTCCTCCCGCGGGGACCAGGCTCGGTCGGATGGGTGAGGTTCTCCGTGAAGTCCTCCCGACATCATCTCCCGTTTGATTTCCACCCTCAGTTGATCTTGTTTGAGTTTCTTCTGCAAGGAGGGAGGAGAAAGGCCTGGAAACATCTTCCGGGCGGTGGGAGGTGGGGACGAGGTAGGAGATTGCCCCATGGGGCTGCCAGGTTGCTGGACCTTCTTGGTGAGGGTAGGGATGTGAATCTCTCCGGGACCTCGCGGCTCCAAGGATCCTATGCTGCCCAAGAGGGTCTTGGCCATGGCTTTTTGCCCGGGACCGGCAGGATTAGAGGCGCTGCTCCGCGGTTGGGTTCTCCGTTTGAGGATCTCCCGTAGGGTATCGATGGGCGAACCGTTGACGTACCACTCGGTCACCCCCATCTGTCGGAGGTGGGATCGAGCGTGGCTCGACAGCCCCTTGCGGTTCTCGAAGTATTCGCCGCAGAATTCGCAGCGGATATCTCGCACCGGCTCCGACCCCTGACGTACCACTCGGTCACCCCCATCTGTCGGAGGTGGGATCGAGCGTGGCTCGACAGCCCCTTGCGGTTCTCGAAGTATTCGCCGCAGAATTCGCAGCGGATATCTCGCACCGGCTCCGACCCCGAGGCTGACTGGGATAACGCGGACACTCGTGTCCCTTCCCTGCTCGTGTTCCCGGGAAGCGGCGGGGAGGGGGGGAAGCATCCAAGCCCAGGCACCGTGGGGCAGAGGAAGGGCTCTGGATGAAGACACGCTCCTCGGACACCACGGTGCCGGTGGCACCGGGACAAACGCCGCGTGCCCAAACCGAGGGCGTCCCTGCTAATCCCGGTGCTGGATGCTCAGCCCTGGAGCTGGGAGGGGGGGATCTCCTGCCTCGGGGAATCCCCCGATTCACGGCACGTTGATGAAGAGGAAGATGAAGCGGGAAGAGGTTTTACCACCAAACCCAAGCCACAACCTGCGCCACGCAATATCCTGGAGGAGAAGCGCAATTTCACCAGCGCTTATCCACCCTCCAGCTGGCAGAGGGGAAGGGAGAAACCATCGGCGCTGCATCAGGATGGGGAAATCGAGGCAGATCCCTGCTCCCAGGCACCACGCAGCCATCCCCGCTGGTGGAAAGAGCTCAGCGGGGAGGCCGGGGTGGTAATTTCTAACCTGAGTTGGGATTTTGGGCCGAGGAAGGGACCTACGGAGAGGGAGCAGAGGCATCGCGGCAGCCAAAACCCTGCTGCGGCTTCGCTTTCTTGCCCGGCAAATGGGAATGAGGGAGAAAATCGGCCGATTCCTCGTGCCATGGCTTGGGGTCTGTCGGCTGCTGCAGCCCGCCGGGCACTTCGCTCACGCCAAGCTGAGCGACCCGCCAAGAGGCCGGTTACTCTTACGGCTTCGTTAGCAGGCAGCCCTAACGAAGAGGAATTACGGCGCTGGCTACGCCACAGGCATAAAGCCTTTTTCTGTTGGTGCTCCGAGTCTTTAAAGGGCTGCGAGGACCAGCCGGGGCCAAACCCTGCGTCTTCTGTCACCGGCGGAGGAGCGGCACCCCCGGAAAGCATCTCTGTCCCGGGAAACCCACGGGCGCATCCTCGCCACCCGTCAGCATCCAGCTCTGCCATCCCGGAGCTTTTTGGCTTGGGAAAAGCAAGATGGTAGCCGGGATGGAGCGATTTGATAGCCCTTTGGCTGCAAGAAACCTCGCAGGGCTAGGAAATCCCCAGCCATGGGGATTTCGAGGGATATCGGATCCCTGCAATGAGGGAAGGAGTGTATACAGCAAACGTGAGGATGGCATCTTCTGCTTTATCGCAGGAAACGACCCCAAATGTGCCGCAATTCCCACCGGGGAAGATGAAGTCAGTGCTGCCAGCGGCGGGACGGGCTCGCTGGGCAAGCCCGCTAACGAGGATGAAGAACTAACGAGGCAGAGAAGCCAAAAGAGCCCTTTTTGAGCTGGTGATGAAGACGTTCCCAGCAAGACGCGGTGCTCTGGGAGAAGGCGGCAAGAGCCGGCTGCTGCCGGGAAAGCCACTTTGGTCCCAAGGCGTCGGAATAAGTCACCGATGGAGCTTGGGGATGAAGAGGGACACAGCAGCACCAGGGCTGCAGGGCCAAGATCTGTGGCAGCGCCTCTCCGAGCGCATCCGACGCTGGAAATGGGAGCAGGGAACGGGCTGACGCCGGCCAAACCCACCGCGCTCCGTTGGGAAAGGGGAGACGGCTGTGCCGGATTGAGCCGCGGCGCGGGAGGGTGCTCGATGCCAGCGGAACCGCGGCCCGGAGGAGGCGAGAGAAATGGGGAAGAGAGATGTAAAGAGCTCAGAGGATGGAGAGCCAGCGGTTTTCCTGAAATCCCGATGGGAACGCCCGTTTGCCCAGTCAGGGAAGACCGTTCCCTCCAATAGGCCAAGTGGCCGCGTATCTCCCCGGCACGGTGGTTACCGAACGCCGGCTCCTCCACCGAGCTCTGCGCCCTCCCAGCCACCGAGGGGTGCCCGGCTTGGCAGGAGCAAGATGGGAGAAGCCGGGGATTTCCCCTGCCCTCAGCTGAATGGAAAACATCGAGGAAAAAAACAAAACAAAACAAAACTCACTTAAATTGAGGGGTCCTTCCTCATCCGCCTGCGGCCACTGTGCTTTTGGGGAGCTCTGCAGAGGGCTCAGCGAGAGCTTGGAGCTCTTCTCCTCGGGGTTTTTCGGAGATGGGGACCCCGAAAGAGCGGGCGGCACCTTCTTAAGGATGGGGGATCCTGGTTGGGAGAGGTTTTTGGAGAAGCCGGGAGGGGATTTGATAGCTTTATTAACAGGACCATCCGGCAGGCGATCGCCGGCCTTGCCGAGGGCCAGGAGCGTGGGTCGAGGGGAGCCGGTGGTGGCATCTTTGGGGGAACCGGATTTTTTGCCAAGGGTGGGAGACATGGGGCTGCCGTCGGGTTTGCCTTTTTGTTTCATCAGTTCGTAAAGCAAATCGATGGGAGCCCCGCTGCTCTGAGCAGCCCCCAGCCACTCTGGTTTTTTTCCCCCCCGTGAGCGATTTTTACCACCCCCAACCCTAATTTTGAACATTAAGATGCTCCGCGCATCCCTGTGCAGGCAGGAATAAAGCGGGGAAGAGCGAGCGGAGCTGTGGGAGGACAAGGATCGCTGCTCTGGGGTGGAAGGAGGCCGGATTTTCCCGCTTGAGGATGTTTTCCAGAGTGATTTTGGAAGCTTTGCCCATAATTCGGTGAGCCGCAGGCAGGCTCCGAAGCCCAGCCAGTGAGGGAGAGGGATCTTAAAGTGATTGTTTTAGGGAAACATCGTTAATTAGGAGAGGAAGGACTGACTGACGTGGTTTAAGGAGGACAGGAAATGCACATAGGTCCTGGCGAGCTTTGGAAAGCTGCTGGCACCGGGGAAAAAAACCCAATGTAAACCAGTGATACCAGAGTACAACACAGCTACCCTCTTAATTAGAGAATTAATTAAGTAAAAGGACCTGAAAATCGTCCCCGATCAGGTTAAACAAACACCTGCCAGGTTTCCCACTCTCTCCTCGCAGCAGAAACCCAGTGCTCAGCTATCGGAGACAACAAGAAGCCAGGAAAAACACTCACTTTTGGAGTCCTGAGGCTCTGGTTTGCTCCCGGGCGGCTCAGGAGACAGTTTGGTCCCTATCCTGGTGGGGGGTTGATCCAGCTGCCCGGCAGGAGCACTTTTTTTCGGCAGAGGGGGTGAACCCACCTCCATGGCCACCAGTTCTTCCTCTTCCGGAGCCAGGACTGCCAAGAGAAGGAGATCGTTAGCCCCCAAGGGCAGATAACACAAGGGAGGTTGGGGTGAGGTGAGGTGGCTTCATCTGGAGCAGCTTAAACCTTTGCTAAGAGCTCAAGGAGGAGAAAGGATGCTGTCACCGCAGAGAATGGGGCTCTGCCCGGGGCTGGTGGGTGCTTTTAGAGGGGGACACCTGCCCTGGTGGCAGATGACGAGCCACTGGGACAGTGGTGACCTGCCAGGGGGATTTGGGGGTGCTTAGGGACAGTGGGAGGCGAGGAGGACGGTGGCATCTCCCTGAGGAATGGGAGACGGTGGCAGGTCTCTGCGGAGGGGGGACACGGTGGCAGCACTCTGTGCGTGTGGGGACACACAGGAAGGTAGCAGCTCCCCGGGGTGGAGGGGAGGACAGGAACATAAAGGTGGCATCTGTCTGCGGTGGGATGGATGGAGACAGCTCCCAGTATGGGGGGAGGACAGGGACAGTGGCAGCTCCCTGCCAGGGAGGGGAGAGGGATGGTGGCAGCTCCCTGCAGGGAGGAGAATGGGGAAGAAGGCAGCTGCCTGCAGGGAAGGG